AATTTTTAATTAGAATCATATAAAAAATTTAAAAAAAGAATTAGAATCATATAAACATGGGAAGATTTTTTTACATCCTTATAAAAAAAGCAAGTTGCTGAATAATGTATTCTATGATCACACTAACATTAAGAAATTAAAACTATTGGGGCGCCTGGGTGGCTTAGTCGGTTAAGCGTCCGACTTTCGCTTAGGTCATGATCTCACGGGTCGTGGGTTCGAGCCCCAGGTCAGGCTCTGTGCTGGCTGCCAGCCCAGAGCCTGGAGACTGTTTTGGAGTCTGTGACTCCCTCTCTCTCTGACCCTCCCCTGCTCACGCTGTCTCTCTCTCTCTCCTAGAAATAAAGAAAACATTAAAAAAAATTTAAAAAAAAAGAAATTAAAACTATTGATAGTATATTATTGTGCAAAGCATAATATAAAACATACATAGGCAGCTGCTATGGAAAACGCATGGCAATTCCTCAACAATTTAAACACATAATTACCATATGATCGACCAATTCCACATCTGGGCATATCTCCAAAAGAAATGAAAGCAGGGGACTCAGGCAGACTTTTGCCCACCCAAGTTCACGGCAGCATTCTTCCTAATTCACAACAGACAAAGCAGGAAGGAACTCAAGCCCCTGCTGACAGACCAAACAGATGGTCCATGGAACAGTATGCAGCCTTTAAAAAGGAAAGAAACTGACACATTACAACATGGATGAACCTTGAAGACCTTGAGATAAGCCAGCCTAAAACCCATACACTGGAAGAAAATATTGTAAAATAAGGATTTTAAAATGACGACTGGTTTTACTTGTAATGTGGTCAATTTTGAGTCTAAATATTCCCTGGTCAATTTGAGGTCTTTGAGAACAAGGTGAACTGCTGTTTCTAGCGTCTCTGGGCAGGAACCCTGGCGGCTCCCACCGTGGCTGGAAAACGCTGCAGAGCAGCAGAGGCAGGCAGGCGTTGTGCTATCAGATCTGACCCGGGAGTGAACTGCAGGCAGGCACACCCCCGAGGCATTCTTACACAAAGAAACTGAACTTTGCCTTCAGCTCCGCACTTCCCTCTTGAGAGGGTAACTGGTTACTTGTCCCAAGATGTCGCCTACTCAGCAATCCTGTCTCTTCCCATACAAAATGGTAACAAAACCCTGAGTGGGCCAAATGAGACAGGGCTGTGAAAGAGCCCAGCAAGGGCAGGCACCCGACAAGTCGGTCCCTGTCCCGTCAGGTACACCAGGATAGGGATCGTCATCCCCAAAATCTCAAGCCACAGCTGAATCTCACAGACTTCCACTGACGTAAAACAGGGGCACAGCTTTCTTATGTCAGCTCTAGGTAAACACGCCAGAGCCCTGACTCAGGGTAAGATCTTAAGGTCTTCATTATAAACCCGCACACCGACTCCAGTCTTGTGGCAGGAACAGTTAGGAAAGCTCCAGGGATTTAATGCCACCAAGATTTTTAAATAAATCAGTCTCTCACTGAAGTTTCAAAGGTTGTGATGACTCAAAGCACGTAAGAGGAAACACTCCCAGTACCTAGCAGAACCAAGTTCAGGCCAGGCAGTTCAGTGACCTGAACAAAATTAGCCAATTCGTAGGCCAACTTCTAATGGTTAAAAAAATATAATTATTACTGTACGAAAAAATTACAATTATTACTCTCTCAAAGACAGCCTTCTAAGTCAAAAAAGATTTCTCTAAGCAAAGCTGACAGGAAATTAAGCCTTTCTGCCAGTTTACAGAAGCCTAGAGAAGGCCAACAAGATGGCAGATTTTTATGACATGTGCCTCATGTGCCCAACATTATAGATAGTGAGATATGATGTCAATTCCTTGGTCGATTCCTTTGTCAATTTTATATAATTCATATAGAAAAAAAAAAGCAGTGGTTATCATACAGTAAAATGAACTCCTATGCACTTCTGACGTGTAGTTGTATGATTTTAAAATACGTTACTGGCACTATCAGTATACAGAACCGTTCCATCACCCCAAAAAGCTCCTGCTGTCCCTTTATGTCCCCACCCGACCCGGACCCCGCCCCTCTGGTAACCACTAATCTGGTCCCCATCAACGCAGCCTCATCTTCAGAATGTCATAGAAGGAGAACCACACCTTTTGAGCCTGGCTTCTTTCAGCGTAAATCCTTCGAGATCCATCCCAGTAGTTGTCTTGATCTGTAACAGTCCCTCCTCCCTCTCATGGCTGAGGAGGACAGCTCGGTATAGAAGGACCAGTTTGTTGAACTAGGCACCCACTAGAGGGTATTCTGGTTGTTTCCGGTGCTGGCTACTATGAATAAAACTGCCACGAACACTAAAGTAGGGTGTCTGCATGCACAAGTTTCCTTAGGTAATTACCCAGGAGCAGGACTGCCGGGTCACAGGGTGGATGTATATTTAACATTAACTGCCGGGCTGTTGTCCAGGGTGGTGTGACTGCCTGCATTCCCACCAGCCACGTGGACGGCTTCCAGAGGCTCAGCATTCTTGCCAGCACTTAGATGTGCTGGTATTGCTTATTTTAGCCATTCTAACAGGTATACGGCGATATATTATCATGCTTTTAAGTTACTTAACCATTTTAATAGGCATCTTTTAAAAATAGTACACATCGCTTCATTCTCTTGAGAATGCTCAGGGGCTCCTCAAGTACATAAAATTGTTTTCCTTCTTCTACAGTAACTCCAGAACTATGTCTGGTTTTTACGGCTTTTTTTTTTATCTTCTCCTTTATGAAGTGTCACTTCTTGGTATTAATGATGCACCTGCCTCTGGCTGACTTTACACCCATTCCTCAAGCTAAGCTTAGACACAGATAACCAAGCTTATCAGAACCACATCTGGAAAGAAGAGGTCTATTAGGAGAGGATTTGATTCTCCAGTGAGGAAAGAGAAAGCTTTTGTTTTTTTCTTTTTGAGTCACTGTACCAAAACCTCCTGACCTCTTGTTTGGCTGCTGAGAAACTTGTGGTAGCTAAATTTCTTAGACGTTTTCCAAAATGGTGAGGCTGCCAGGCCAAGTGGCCTTTGGGTAGTTGAGTCATTACTGTACTAACCTGAGCAACTAACACTATACTATGATTCTATATTGAGAGTCAAAAGCTTAACTAGAGCAAAGAAATCATCTTGTGACTGGAAACCTAAGTGGAAGAAATTATCTTAAATCTAGTTTCCAAACATTCACAGTGGTCAAACTTCTAAGCACCTATTAGGCGAGCCACACATTCACAGGGACGCAAAAATAAACTTTTTTACGGTTAAATAAAGAACTCAGCAGCTCTCTCAAAGATAAGTCTGTGTACACACCGAATTCAATCCTTCCTAATCTCTGAAAGTCGTTGGACCAGGAAGCTCATCCCGTCTTTTCAGGGCTAGTTTCCGTGGCAATACTGCTCCGACGTACTCAGGAGGTGGCTCTCGGCCGGGAGTCCAGGCTGCCTGGCCTCCCGGAGCCCGGGCTCCAGGGCAGAAAAGGCCAGCAGCCCCAGGCGCTCCCCCAGGCCCGCAGGGGACGCTGGCGGCTCTCGGCCAGGCCCACACACCAATCCCCGCTCTCCCAGCCGCCTCGACCCGCAGACTCACAAGCCCGCCACCAATTGCAACCGGACAGGGGTGGGACTTCCGCTACCACTTTCGGCTTCCCCACCACCATCTCAGCTCAGGCAGTCAGGAAGAGTGGATTTCGGAAACTTTGGGCTCAAGCGGCTGGAAGCAGAAATAGAGGCAGAGCAAACAAGTTGGAAGCCGGACAGGGTGGCAAGAGCCAGAAAACCACAAGGGCCCCCCAAGTTTTTAACAAAGAGCAATGAAAGACGAAGCAGTCCAAGCCGAGGGTCGCTGATCTGCACGCTATCTCTGCAGCGGCTGCCGGGCCCCGAGGCCGCCCTCGGCCCGGGTGCGGCGGGGAGCCGCCGCCAAGGGCCGGCAGCCGCTCTGATCGCCGGGTGCACGGCCCGAAGCGGCCGAGGCCCCCGGGCAGAGGCACCACCCCCTGGGAATCCAGTTCACGTTCCCCTTCGTCCTGACGCTGCTGATGCACAAAACCCAAGACTTTCAGTCCCAGAACTGACTAAATTCCGTCATGATAAATCTCACAATCCTTTGAAATCTGGCGCACACAAAAATCGGACAGTCTCTCTCCAAAGTGTCGTCTCGGAGGGACTCAAGGCGCGCGTGTCCTCTCCCGAAAGCGGGGCACCTCGGCAGGCCTCGGGCAGGCTGTGGCCGGCTGGGACGCGGTGACAGCAGCAGGCGGCTGGCGCGACCCCCGCCGGGACCCCCGCGCGCGGCCAACCTGTTGCTGCGCGAGCACGGCCACCCGCGAGACGAGCGTCGCGCCCGGGGCAGCGGGGCCCCGCTCCCCGCACGCCCGCGGCGCGGCCGGGGCTCCGGGCTCGCCCCCGCCCGCCCCGCGGGCGCCAGGCCGCACGTCCATCCTGCGCCCCCCGCGCCCCGCTCCCGCCCCTCCCCCCGCCCCGGGGAGTCGGGGGGCGGCGACCCCCGCCCCGGCCCCCGCCGGCCGCACCTTGACGTGGAAGCGGATGAGCGCCAGGCGGATGCAGTGCGCCATGCAGACGGGCGGCAGGAACCAGACCTTGGGCGGCGGGGTGCCCTTGTTCTGGACATGGCTGACGATCTGCTGCGCCGTCTGGCGCTCGTTGCCCTGCCGCTTGACCCACTCGTGCAGCCGCGCCTTCTCGAGCGCGCCGTTGAAGAAGACGAAGAGCTCGATGTTGCCGCCGAAGCAGGCCTTGGCCAGCGCGGCCAGGTAGCCGAGCATGTGGTTCCACTGGCCGCCGCTCACCCAGTCGGTGTAGAAGCCGCCGTACAGGCGGTGCAGGCAGTTGTCGGCGTCCACCAGCAGGCGCAGCGGCGTGTGCGGGGGCCGCTGCCGCCCGCCGCCCACCAGGCTGCCCCGGGCCAGCTTCTGCAGCTCCACCGGCACCACGGCGCTCGGGCAGTGCTTCTCGATGTAGTCCTGGAAGCCCTGCACGCCCATGGCGGCGGCGGCGGCGGGCGCGGGGCGGCGGGGCGGCGGGGCCGGGGGCGGCGGGGCCGGGGGCGGCGGCGCCGTGGCGCGGCCGGGGCGGCGGCGGGCTCTAGGGGGGGCCGGGGCGGGCCGCGGGCGCGCTCATGGCCGCTGCGGCCGCCATGTGCTGCCGCCTCCCAGGGCCATGGCGGGAGGGACCTGCGCCGTGCGCCGCTCGAGGCCCGGGCCAGGCTGAGGCGGCCTCGCGCGGGCGGCGGCGGCGGCGGCGGCGGCGGGGCGGGGCGGCGCAGACTGACGCACGCGGGCCGGCGGAGGGCGGAAGAGGCGGTGCCGCGGCCTGCGGGGCCCGCGCCCGGCGCGGATCCCGGCCGCGCGGCGGACAGCGGCCGGCGAGCAGGGGCCGTGCGGCCAGCCCGAGGGAGGGGGCGCCCTGGAGGCCTCGGGGCCGCGGCCGCGGGTCCCATCACCCCGAGGAAGACCCGTCCCCGGGTCCCGTCACTCTGAGGAGACCCGCCCCCCTGTTCCCCGGTCCCGTCACTCTGAGGAGACCCCCAGCCCCATCCCCGGGTCCCGTCACTCTGAGGAGACCCCCCTCCTGTTCCCCGGTCCCGTCACTCTGAGGAGACCCCCTCATTCTCCGGTCCCGTCACTCTGAGGAGACCCCCCCCCGTCCCCGGGTCCCTTCACTCTGAGGAGACCCCCCCGTCCCCGGGTCCCATCACTCTGAGGAGACCCCCCCCCGTCCCCGCGGGTCCCGTCCTCTGAGGAGACCCCGTCCCCGGGTCCCATCACTCTAAGAAAACATCCGTCCCTGTCCCCAGGTCCCGTCATTCTGCGGAAATCCCGTCCCCGTTAGTGGGTCCTGTCACTNTCCCCGGGTCCCTTCACTCTGAGGACCCCCCCCCGTCCCCGGGTCCCGTCACTCTGAGGAGACCCCCCCCGTTCCCCGGTCCCGTCACTCTGAGGAGACCCCCAGCCCCATCCCCGGGTCCCGTCACTCTGAGGAGACCCCCCCCCCGTCCCCGAGTTGCGTCACTCTGAGGAGACCCCGTCCCCGGGTCCCATCACTCTAAGAAAACATCCGTCCCTGTCCCCAGGTCCCGTCATTCTGCGGAAATCCCGTCCCCGTTAGTGGGTCCTGTCACTCTGAAGAGACCCCGATCCCGTTCGTGGGTCCCGTCACCCCGAGGAGACCCCCGTCCCCATCCCCGGGTCCCGTTACCCTAAGGAGACCCCATCCTCGTCCGCGGGTCCCGTCACCCTGAGGAGACCCCAGGCCGTCCTTGGGAGTTCTCACCCCGAGGAGACCCTGTCCCCATTCGCGGGTCCCGTCACTCCGAGGAGACATCGTCCCCGGGTCCCGTCACCCCGACGAGACCCGTCCGGTCCCCGGGAGCAGTCACCCCGAGGCGGAACCAGCGCTGTGGCCGGCGCCCGCGGCGGGAAAGGGGGCAGGCTGGTGAGAACTTGGAGGTCGGGGTGAGCGAGGAGCAGCAGGTGGCTGTGTCCGCGGTGGAGCGGGGAACCGGGTCGCTGCGCTCCTGCGTGTGCTCAGAGGTGGGGAGGAAGGGCTCCCTCCATCTTTGGGTAGCGAGGGACGGGACCCTGCAGATGTGGTTGATGACGTGAGTGGCCTCGACCCCGGCCCCTCTGGGAGAGCAGGCGGGGGTGGGGGAGAGCGGGGCGGGCAGGCAGTTCAGACGCCGCCACCCACCGAGGAGCCCACTTGCGCGCCAGACTCGCAGGTCAGGTGTAGCCCGGCGGCTTGGTGCCAGGTGACCACGGACGACCCCTGAGCAGGGACGGTCCGCCACAGCGCCCCAAGTGCCTCCTTTCTAGCTGGTGTCAACTGCGAACCTCCAGGCTTCCCCGAGGCTGGGCAGCGGTTTAAACCCCGGTCGCTTTGGGAGCATCTTCTGGAAGGAGATGCTTTGGTGACTTCTGCTCCAGAGCTCTGCCGCAATTGCTTGTAAAATGAGGTTAACACTGTAAGCATATGCACTGCAATAAAACATTTTTAAAAACAGATTAATGTCTTGCAGAATGAAGCACTTGGAAACTCAGAACTCTTAAGAGTTTGAAAGTGGCATTTTTACTTACCTCCAGCCCTCCCATCTGTTCTTTTTCTGAAGAAACCTCCGTAGAGAGCAGGCCCAGACAGCAGGTGCAGAGCAGATGGAGCCTGCGCCCATGCGGCTCCAAGAAGCCCCCATACTCTGTCCCTGAAAAGGCAAGTGGAATTTTTTTCATTTCTTTTCTTATAACTTCACCTCAAATACAAGCCAGTGTGATATACATAAGTAAAATGTTCTTAGTATTTTGATAAGTATGTTTAATTTTTTAAAAACAGACTGTAGCAAGTTAAGTCACTTACCCATGCACTAAATTAGTGCTGAAGCCAGGATCGTGTGTTATTTAGAATTGCAGTTAGCCATTTAAGGCCACATTAAATACTGACACCCCGGAAAAAGCCACAATTCCTTCTGTAACCCACTGCAGGTTCACAAGGTTGACAATAGTTTTAAGCACTCATTGTATTTTCATTTATAGCACTGCATTCCATATGTTTATCTTCACTATGTACTGTCCTTATTTTAAACATGCTTACTTTTAATTATTTATTTTTTAAGACAACCTTTTTTTTTTTAAGTTTATTTATTTTGAGAGAGAAAGAGAGAAGGTGAGAGTGGGGGGAGGCGCAGAGAGACAGGAGGAAGCTAGAATTCCAAGCAGGCTCTGGGCTATCCTCCATCTCACCAGCTGAGTGGTTTGTCAGCAGCTTAACCAACTCAGCCACTCAGGTAACCCTGCTTTTAATTTTTTAAAAGCTTTAGTGCCGGTATCTGGGATTCAAGGAATAAATTTCTTTCACCTTAAGACAGCGTAGAGTCCTAAGTTTCTGCAGTCAGACAGCCACATCTGTCTCCTCCAGCTCTGTGACCTTAGGCAAATTACTCAGCCTTTTTAAACCTCAGTTTTTATCGTCTGTAAAATTAGGATGTTAATAGTACTTACCTCTCAGATTGCTATAGGATTAAATGAGATAATCTGTGTGCTTACCACACAGCAAATGCTCAGTAAATGTTCGCTCTTATATTTAATACTTCTGCATAACTATAATTATATAGACTTTATGCTTGAGAACATGGACAAGTTATTTTATTTTTTTGGAACTTTAAAATTTGTTTTCATAAGTATAAAATATAAAATTCATTTATACTTACTTGCCCTATTTAACTATGTGTTCACCTTTTTAAAAGCTAACTTTTTCTCCTTTTTTGATTAACATTATTAATGGCCGTTAAAATGTGTGCTGACGAATCTTTTATGTAATCTGCATCCACAACTCAAATTCAAGGATTGGTTGAAGTTAAATGTTTTGAATATCGTTACTTTTACAGTAAATAATCTGTAATGAAAATTTAGTAAAAAGTTAATACATTTTTGGGTTTACAGCTCATGACAACTTATGATTGGAGACTTTCATTTCCAACCACTTTATCTTTGGACAATTCACTTAGACCCCACATGATAAAACTTTTAATTTCACCAAGAGATTGCCATACAAGTGAGGGAAAAACCAGAAAGAATAAACAGTGCTAAAAAGGACATGGCCCTATGCCTCACAAAAATTACAATATGAAATCTCAGGAAAAAAGTTGTGATTAATAGACAAAGAGAACCAGTCGATGATGTGCAAAATTATCAATGCGTGGAAACCCAACAACAAATACTTATTTTCAGCTCTTTTACGTTTCAGCCAATTTGTTATGATAAGTTCATCTACAGCTCAAAGTAGGAAAATATTGTCTGTCTTATTTACATGATCCTTTCCAAAGTAAAGTGCTTTATAGTAGAAAAACACCTTTAATTAATAATCTACCTAGTTGAGGCTTCTATCCACCAGCAATAAAAGGTAAGTTTTCATTGCTTCAAGGAAGGTGAAAGTTGGCTCTGCTCCCACTCATATAATCACTAGCATATACGGGGAGAACAGCAGGCTGGAACAGCTCAGCATAGAATCCGTGACCTGGGCAGAAAACATATTAATCCCTGCTTGGGATTTGAACCTGTAATCTTTACCTAGCACTAAGGCTGTAATCTGTTAATTGTTAGCTTAAATGACCTGAAAGAGCACATAGGTCTCTGTGTTTTGTTGTTGTTGTTGTTGTTGTTGTTGTTTTGGTATTCTGGAATTAGAAAGTACTTTTTGTTTGTTTTTAGTTATATGGATTAAAAGTCCTATTTTCTTCACAGGTGTAAACTTATTTTCTCTTTCAACCATAATTTTTTAAACAGACATATACAACTATAGTTTTAAATTGTAAGTCAATGGGAAAATATAAGCAGATTTCTATAAATTCACATTTCTAGCACCCTTTAAGTATAGTGGAAGTTCCCGAATGCATGACAACAAACATTTTACATATTCGGTTGGTGACTATCTTAGCTGAAGGGTACTGCACTCCTTATCACCGTAATTTTCCCTTCCTGGGAAAGTCTACAATTCTTGATGTCCATTCTTTCTCAAGTCTGCAAAGGACTGATTGTGTCCCCTCTCCACCACTTGTGGGAATGCCAGCCGCCTTCCCAACACTTCCTGGGCATCCAAGACCTCTTTCTCCCGACATCCATCCTTACTGGCATGAGGTACTCAGGCATCAAATTATCTTTACCCCCACCCTCACCACAGGGAGCTGCTGAGGAGAAGGGGACAAACACCCAAGGGATGCTTTGGAAGGCAGTACTCGGTTGGGCATATAGTCTCTCTTATTTGGATAGAAGACTTTAATAGTCATCCCTTAAATACTGCCTGATAGAATCTTCAAAATTCTTTTCTTTTTTTGTACACTAAATTTTATTTCTCAATATGATATACATCAAAATGAGAAATTTATTTTTTTAAACTAAGAATTCCCATTCATAAGTACAAAACCATTTGAAGATTTAATTATTTAGAGACTAGTTATCATTAAATGGTCTGTTACATTTGTTCAAACCATACAAAATGTTTCTGAAAGGAGCACTTCTCTCACACCAGAATACAGAGCACAGGCCTGATTAAGCTGGAGCACATGAACCTCAGTGCCTCCAGACGCTCTGTAACCTCAAACACAGGAACACATAGTCATTCTCTGGAAACTGAGCCGAGTCTCCTTGCACAGACTCTGCTGCCAAAGGAAGAGGTCAGGGTTGCCTGTGGAGCTACGGAGCAGAAGTGCCTGGGGAATACAGGGAGAAAGTTCTGCCTTAAATGCAGATGCCTTCAGGGTGGAGCAGTAGCCTGCGCCTGAGAAAAATTGCTGGAAGCAAGAAACAGCTGCTCCTCCAGTCACCACTGCCTGCTGGCATCTCCCTCTGCAGCAAGTCCCAGATGGGGGTAAGGCAGCCCCAGCCCTGGCCAAAGGGCTAAGGCATCCATCTCCACATCAGTGCAACTTGAAGGAAGGATTTTGGCATAGATACTTCCAGTTTTGTTAAACCAAGAAACATTGTTTCAAAGTAAACTATTCCATGTCATTAACATAGAAGAGATTATAGACTCAGTAATATTATCCTAGCATTTGCTTTTCATGAGATATACTATCCAATAGAACTTTCTGTAATGGAGGAAAAATGAGCTGTACTGTCCAATATGGTAGCTGCTAGCTATATGTAATTAGTGAGCGCTTGATGTATACAATGAGGAATTACATTTTTTTAAGTTTATTTATTTATTTAGAGAAAGAGAGTATGCACATTGGGGAAGGGGCAGAGATAAAGGGAGAGAGAATCCCAAGCAGGCTTCACACCATCAGCACAGAGCCCAATGTGAGACTTGAACTCACAAACCACAAGATCATGACCTGAGCCAAAATCAAGAGTCAGATGTTTAACTGACTGAGCCACCCAGGCAACCCAGGGAACTAAATTTTTAATTTCACCTAATTTTTATTAAATAACTATAAGTGACTAGTGGCTACTATATCAGAAGATCTTAATTCCTAAAGAGCTGAGCAATTGCATCAGCCTTGCCTCATATTAGCTTACATTTAGTGTAATTTGTTCAATACATTACCTAGTCATACTTTAACATAACATCACATTTTCTTTTTTTTTTAATTTTTTTAAAAATGTTTTATTTATTTCTGCGAAAGAGAGAAGCAATGTGAGCAGAGTAGGGTCAGAGAGAGAGGGAGACACAGTATCTGAAACAGGCTCCAGGCTCTGAGCTAGCTGTCTGCACAGAGCCCGACGCGGGGCTCAAACCCACGAACCGTGAGATCTGACCTGAGCCGAAGTCGGACGTTTAACCGACTGAGCGACCCAGGTGCCCCTAAGAGAAGGAAATTTGTAAACTATAAAGCGTTGTGAAAATGTGATGTCGGGGCACCTGGGTGGCTCAGTCGGTTAAACGTCCGACTTCGGCTCAGGTCAGATCTCACGGTTCGTGGGTTTGAGCCCCGCGTCGGGCTCTGTGCAGACAGCTAGCTCAGAGCCTGGAGCCTGTTTCAGATACTGTGTCTCCCTCTCTCTCTGACCCTACCCCACTCATGCTCTGTCTCTCTCTGTCTCAA